TGTATGTATGTATGTATGTATGTATGTATGCATACATGTATGCATGTATGTATGTATGTATATATGTATACATGCATGCATGCATGCATGCATGCATGCATGCATACATGCATGTATGCATGCATGTATGTATGTATGTATGTATGTATGTATGTATGTTTGTATGTATGTATGTGTGTATTCATACATATATCGAATTTCCAGCCAACCAGTGGTGTTGTGTCCTCGTTTTGAAAAGACGGTCCCCGCGTTCTCCTTCTCCTTCCTCCCTCTTCCTCCCCCTCCTCCCTCCTCCCCCTCCTCTTTCCTCCCTGCGTTTCACCGGCCCACTACAGCGTTTCGCGGCCCCATAGGAATTCCACTGAAGGCCCCAGTGGCAGGGTTCGCATGGCGGCCTCGGGCCATTTCGGCACACCCATCACGGGGATCGTGGCCCCATAGGAGCTCCACCGAAGGCTCCAGTGGCAGGGTTCGCATGGCGGCCTCGGGCCATTTCGGAATTCTCGTCACGAGGATCGTGGCCCCGCGGGGAGCTCCACCGAAGACTCCAGTGGCAGGGTTCGCATGGCGGCCTCGGGCCATGTCGGCACACTCGTCACGAGGATCGTGGCCCCATGGGAGCTCCACTGAAAGCGCCGTCGCATGGCGGCTTCGGGCATTTCGGCACACCATTCACGAGGATCGGGGCCCCATATGAGCTCCACCGAGGGCGTTGCTGGCAGGGTTCGCGTGGCCGCCTCGGGTCATTTCGGCGCGCCCCTCGCGAGGATCGTGGCCCCATAGTTGTGCTGCTTCAACAACCGCGCCTGGGCGTCGTACTCCGCCTTGTCGGCGTGCAACGCCACCTCCCCCATCATGGTTCTCAAAGGGCGCCGTCTTCGTCGTGGTCGGCGCCCGCGAAGACGGCCATGAACGTGTCCCTAAGCATGTCGGGCTCCGGCGGGAAGGCGTGGCCACATAGGGGGTGCGGGCGAAGATGGTATTCACAATTGCGGTATTCACAACTGCATATGGTTGGGTCTTTCCCCAAGCTAAGCGTTTTCGGCCTATCCCGCTACCGTGCTTGGGTTCTGGGGCAGACTTCTCGGGGATTTTTTGTTGGGTCCCTTCGGAATGCCTTCGGGTCCTTTTGGTCGGAGTTTTTGCGGCCTTTTTGCGGCCTTTTGGGGGCCTTTCGGGGGCCTCTTGGGGGCCTCTTGGGGCCTCTTGGGGGATTCTTGGGGGCTCCCTGAGGACCGAAAGCCCGACATGTCCGCTCGGGTTCCCCATATGGGCTCTGTCTTGGAATCGTTTTTGGGCCCTCATGGGCCGTCTTGGGCGCCTCTTGGGCCGTCGTGGGGCCCTCTGGGGGCGTCTTGGGGCCCTCTCGGGGACCTTTGGGGCCGCCTTGGGGCGATCTTGGGGGCTTCTCGGGTCGTCTTGGGGCGTCGGGACTCCGAAAAGCGAAACCGCCCAAATCCATCCAACACCGAGGGGCCAGCAGTGATGTTGAAATGGCCTCCGGCCAGTGCCGCCGATCCGGGGCGCTTCGGATGATGGTGATGATGGCGATGATGATTGCGATGATGATGATGATGCTGATGATGATGATGTTGATGATGATGATGGTGGTGGTGATGATGATGACGATGACGACGATGACGGCGATGACAATGACGATGGCGATGACGGTGACGATGACGATGATTATGATGATGATGATGACGATGGTGCTGATGATGATGCTGCTGATGATGGTGATAATGGTGATTATGATGATTATGATGACGACGGTGATGATGGTGATGATGATGATGATGATGATGATTATGGTGTTGGTGTTGGTGGTGGCGATGCTGATGATGACGATGTTGCTGATGTTGATGCTGATGCTGATGACGATGATGCTGCTGATGAAGATGATGATGATGAGGAGGAGGATGACGCTGATGATGATGATGATGATTTTGATCATGGCACTGACCATGATGTCGATCATGATGATGGTGATGGTGATGGGGATGCTGATGCTTCGTCTTGGGGGCCTCCTGGGCCTGCGTAAGCCCTTCTTAGGCAGTCTTGGAGCCTTTTTGAGGGCCCCTGTAGCCGTTTTGGACACTGGGGGGTCCTTGGGGGCCAGTTGGGGCCTTTGGGGGCCTCTTGGGGGCGTCTTGGGGCCTCCTGGGGGCCTCCTGGGCCGTCTTGGGCCCTTCTTCGGCCGTCTTGGAGCCCTTTTGGGCGCCTCTTGGGCCCGTGTTGGAGCCCTCTTGCGCCGTCTTGGGGGCCTCCTGGGCCTGCGTAAGCCCTTCTTAGGCCGTCTTGGAGCCTTTTTGAGGGCCCCTTGAGCCGTGTTGGACACTGTGAAGGCCCAAGAGGCGAACATGCTAAACATGTAGGTTTTCCCAAGGGAAATCGACTTCCCATCCTTTCCATGTTGTAGATCTCCTCTTTATTCGCACAGGTTGATGTCGTAGCAGGGCATGACATTACATGGCATAAAGTGGTGTTGAGTATCAACGCGTAGCCTGGCATAGCATGGCGTTGCGACGGCCCAAAGTGTGGGGGGGCTTCGGCGGCCCAAAAAATCAGCGAATCGACGCCGAAATTGTAATCACATCCGATGGTTGTTTCGCATTTTTTGTGTTTTGAGATTTTGGGGCCTGTTTGGAAGGGTTGAACACCATGCTGTGGCTTGGCGCTGGAAATACTAACGCCAGCGCTGCAGCGGGAGCACGATTCGGACCGAGCGGAAGCGCGGAAATGAGCCAACGCTGCAGCAGGGGCATGCTGCGGAGGACGCCTAGCCAGACATAGCATGTCATGGCGACGCTCCAAATGGCGGGGGGGCTTCTGCGACCCGAGAAATCACTTAATCAACGCCGAATGTGAAATCATTTCCGATGCTTTTTTGGTTTTCCGGGGGGGAGGGGCATTTTAAAATTTTGTGATTTGTTGGAAGGACCGAGAACCATGCCGTGGCATCGCGCTGGAAATGCTGACGCCAGCGCTGCAGCGGGAGTACGATTCGGAACGAGCGGAAACGCGGAAATGAGGCCAACGATGCATCGGGACGATTCGGAACGAGCTTTAGCCCGAAAATGAGGCCAGCGCTTCAGCGAGAGCAGAATTTCGAAAAAAGTACCCAAGCGAAAGCCCTGCGTCGCCCTGGCCACGAGGTAGATGCCGCCCTTGTCCAGCAGCTCGTGGCCCAGCTCCTTCCCCTCCTCGAGCATTTCGAGCGATGCTGCCCAGACGCCGTTCGGGCCCGTCGCGCAGCTGTCAAAGGTGCACGCCGCCAGGCCACGCTTCTGACAAACCTCGGGTCGTCTTTGTTGGGGCACTCACGATGCCAGTGTCCCTTGTCCTTGCATATGCCGCAGCGGGTGATCTTCATCAGCTGCTCGGGCGAGAGACGTGGACGTCTCCGTCCGTCGCCTCGTCCGGCCCCCCTGCCGCGGTCGCCGCGCCCGCGGCCGCCGCCTCGACCGTCGCGTCGGTTTCGTCCTCCCGCTGGGCGCGGAGGGCGAGGGGCTGACCCTGCCGTTCCTGACCTCGGACGTGCTCCGAAGCATTCTCGATCACGTTTGGCTGCTCGTTTGATGTCTTTGTTCTGCTTCCAGGTCCTCGTGTTGGACCCAGACTCAACGATAGCCAGCGCCCCGGTGACCGGAGTCTCGTCCAGGTCAAGGTCCTCCAGCTCTGCAAGTAGAACTGCCTCGTCCTGCTCGTCATCGTCGTGGGAGTCGTCGTAGTCGCCGTCGTCCTCTTCGAGACCCTCGGACTCACCAACCGAGTAATTACGAGGGACAGGGGAGGAGACTGTCGAGGGCGCCGTGCTCTTCGGCCTCGGTGCCTGCTGCAAGCGACGTGCTGGCCGGCCGAGGTGGAGGGAGCCTCTCAGAGCCTGTGCCTGGACGCCCGAAATGGGCGCGGAAAGAATGGGTACGATGCCCAACAGCAGTTCTTGTTCATTCTGAACAGGACTCGCTGTCCGCGCCGCCGCGGCCTGTGTCCATTCGAGACAGGAGGTCGCCCGCCCAACAGCGGCCGCTGTTGGTTTGGGACAACATTTGCTGTTGGGCATTGTGCCCATTCTTTCCGTACCCATTTCGGGCGTCCAAACTGTGGCATCCACCTGCCGAAGGGCCCAACTCGTGTCCTGGAAGTCGAGCTTGCCGCGGGTGAGGGCGCAGAGACTCTGCACCCCCTGCGCGGTGAGTCCTGTGCCCTCCTCCAGCAGCAGTCCTTTCATCTTCGGAGAGAGCCGGAGATCGTTCGTCCCCGCCTCCTGGAACAGTGCCTCGCGTCGCCCGACAAGCTGCGTCCAGCAACTCCCTGTCCTCACGGGCTGCCTCGAAGAGTGCGCGACGCCCCGCTCGACGGAGGTCATCACCCGGTCGTCCTCCTGCCATGAGGTCCATGTTGGGCCGAGCGCCGTCGTGATCCAGGAGGCGCCGGGCAGGCTCCCGTCCGGGATGTCCTCGAACTTCGCCTGCACATTCCAATAGAACAGCTTCAAGAACCTGTCGCCATGCCGCCGCACTGGAACGTCGGTGTTGTTGTTCCATCGGCGCGCGCCGCCATTGCCTGTAGTGTGTCCAGCCTGGCCAGGCTGGGGGATCTGAGTAGTCTCCCTTGCCCCCGCCCCAGCTGCCAGATGACCGGCCCCAGCTGCTGGGATGTTCCCACGCGTCTTCGACCGACTTGTCCCAGCTGTCGGCCTGCCAGTCGTCCTTCTTCCACCGAGTGTCACTGGGCCAGAACGCAGGGGCTGCTGCCCTCGATGGGTCAAAGATGCTCTTGTCCTCGTCCCGGTCGTTGTCGTTTTTCTTGCTCTTCTGCTCCGCCTCGCCCACGGCCGCAGCAGCCGGGGCCGCTGCGCTCGTGGTCTCACGGACTGCCCCCGCCACGAGCGTGTGGAGCTGTCCCATGGAGATCGTGATGTTGCCGGACGCGGCCCTTCCTGGCGAGGCCTCCAGTGTCGGCGCGGCTCCAGTAAACCAATTTTCGTCCGCAGGCAT